GAGTTGGGGAATTTGTTTTCGAAAGATTGGTTTTCTGTAGTTAACATAAGCATAAACTCAAAACATATGCAGACACAGTAACGTGTTGATCATTAAGTGCCTTTTGTTAGAACAAATGCTGCTAACGATCAACATGTTACTGCGTATGTTGTTTGTGTTAATGCTTACGTCGCTAGTGAAAACCAGCCTTAACATAGAGAATCAAAGGCTCCTATGGTCTTTGGATTGAATCTTAGTTTTTTTCTTTGTATGTAGAACTGTAATATATCAAAGGCTCGCTCACGGCTGTCAGTAATAATTAAATGTTGTTTTTCCTTTCAGATCAGTGGGAAAAAACAATTATTTATTTATGAGCCACATGACAACACAAGACTGTATGAAGCACACATCCAGGAAGCATCACTTGACTTCAATCCAACCAGCAAGAAGTTCCGCCGTAAAAAACTACTGGAAAGTACTTCAATGGTCATGTCCCCTGTTGATATTCTTAAACCAGATTACGGCAGATTTCCAAAGTTTAAGAAGACACACGCCCTGAATTGTACAATCAATGAAGGAGATGTTCTGTTTATGCCGTCATTTTGGTGGCACGAGGTCCAGTCTTATTCCTAGTGAACAAGAACCGAGAAATGTGGCTGTGAATTTTTGGTAAGATCCTTAATTAATTTTGAGATGGAGCTCTTTGATTGTAGTTGTATTTTTTTCTTATTTATGTGGCTTGTAAATATTTTTCAGTATTCTTATGGATTATTTTTCTTTTGTACACAGGTATGAGCCATTTTTGACAAAGGAGTTTCCTTGTGCTACATGCAAGATGGATGTGAATTCCTTTTATCGTCACATGCTGGACTCATGATACAATATTCTTATAACCCTTACACTCCCCGAGTGTCAAAGCTCAAAATTGAAAAAATCTCAAATTTCATTACAACAACAACTTTATTTATTTACCCATTAATTACATAAAAGAATTTAAAGAAAAAACAAATATTTCTCATTCTGAGAAATATGGAAAAACAAACAGTTCCACATGAAAGTACTAATCAACAGCTTTCATTTGAGTGGTCACACACTAGGGTTTTATCCTCTAATAAAATATTTGTACATATAGCTCTTACTAGTAATGTAAACTCAAGATGTACCAATTTAGTAAATCATAAAACCTTTTTAGTGGTTCAAGAGTTTGGTTCTTATTGTGGTTTCCATGGCATAAGGGTGGGGGGACTGGGGCTGGGGGTCTGATCTAACTTCTGCTTCTCATACCTTGTACTCAATGTTTCCGCCCCTTCTGTTGTGGTTCCTGCTTCTTGTGTGCTTTTTCTATCACAAAATGTTTTCCAATTTCTCCGGTTCCCACCATCTTGTGAATCCTGCTTACTACCCTCTCTTCTCCCGCCTCTCGCAGACTTCCCGCCCCCTTTACAGCCGGATTACTGCCCCCGGCCCCTCCCCACATGCATGAAGCAGCTTTAGATGTATGGCCTGTGTGTAGACGTCTCTGCTATTTCCTTCCTGGCATCACTTGTCTGATGCAGGAAGGAAAGAGTAGATGTTTGTGCACAGGCTATAAAAGTATTGCTACTTCCTCTGGATTGGGATGATAGTCAACCACAGATTACCATAACAATTTTCTGGCACCCATTTATACTCCTGGATGAAGAGAGGACACTATAAAAGTAAAGTGCCTCGCCCAACAATACAACACAATGACCCTGGCTAGGCTGCAAGCCGAACCTCTTGATCCAAACTAACCATAAGGTTTACTGCTCCTCCCACAATTTTTAAATAAAGTATTGACAGCTGTCAATCACAAATATGGGTTGTAATAGAATTATTCAAGTGCGGACACACTACCCAGACACTACCTTCAATACGAGAAAAAAAAAGTAGCTACTTCCAGAACCAGTATATAAATTTATTATTATTATACAAATTCATACAAGGTTTCTAAAAAATATTTTACAGTTCAGTTTCAGTTGTTTATATTATTTGTATAAATAAAATTTTATTACTATAGCTGCCATGATGACCTACACTTATTTACAGAAAAACAAATTAGGTAAAAATACAGGGACAATTATTTACATAAGTAGAGAAGACATACAAAATATCCCAAATATGTGCACAGCGACCAAACTAGCTTGCGCTTTCGAGTTGGTCAGGTATTTATAAAAATTGGCAGCTAATTAAAAACAAATACTTCAATCCAGAATAATAATATTTACAAAAAATTATTTTTAAAAGAAAGGGATCTCTATTTACATTTTTTACAACAGATTTTACAAATACAAAAGTGTCATGTAATTTAATTCGAAAAACACTTCGTTGTTTTCTGTGACAGTCACTAACACCACAGTGTTGGATTTCAAATCCTTGGGGATTTGATTATAAGCTTCTGCAATGAGAACAGATTCTGCAAGAGACGCTGCCCATACATGTAAAATCTGCTTGCTCCATCTTTCCATGGTTGTTTTTAGTGGACTTTAAGACTCCATTGAGCTTTTTATTTAACAATCTCTCGGCATCTTCTACCGTGAAGTCGCCGTGATACTTCATAGCTCGCGTGACAGACACTCCAAGTGTCTCGCTGAACATCACGCAAGTATAATCAGTTATGGCACCGCCGTTAGGGAAATACTGTACTTCCATTTCAGTTTTTTGTAGATCTGCTCCAAAACACCTCTGAAGGCAACTCAAAACTGAGAATTTCACTTTTCTCTGAGCTGCCTCCGGCGTTAGGGCACGTGCGCATTCTTTTGGCTCCATTTGATAAGGACATTTGCGAAACTGGCTTCAGTTGCCTGAGCTCTGTGAACACGACACCAGAATGGGTTTGCGAGCAAATTTTACGGCGGAGGTTGAACGGATTTCCATGTTTAACAACGAAGTTTTCTCCGATGTACATTTGAGCATCTTCTAGCAAAGGATCTTCAATCGTGTTTTGTCGTGAAAATAAAAAGCTTCGATTAGGTGACACAGTTCGTGAAGAAGTTGTTGTCGCAGTTCTCGGTTTGGTTCTCACGACTATTCCCATTTCGTTGTGTACAATTCCGTTTCTTCTGTCGATGGAAAACTTCTTTGGTAATCATTTTCATCTTGCTTTGTGTGTACCCTTTTGGAAGGGTACTTTTATAATCGCGAATATGTTTATTTCGGTCTGTTTACATCAGTGTTGCATCATCACGCTACAGAGAATATAAATAGATCACCAATGACATCATAGGTAGTCGTTCCCAGACCTCGACCCAGGTCCATCTCCGCTTTCAAGATGAAGGCGAGGGAGAATAAGCAGAATAAGGGACAGGGACAGGGAGGCCTAAACAGTTCGAAAAAAATCAAAGGCTCTCGTGTGCCAGCTCAGCAATGTAATTGGAAACTATGAACAAACTTAAGGTCGACACAATAAGCTACAATAACAGGCAAAAAGGCTTTGCTGCCAAAATTTTGATTCAAATAAAACACTTTATTTGTTTTCGGTTCAAAGCTATCGATCGATCGATCGAATTGTATACGAAATTACAAAAGTTTAAATTAAAAAGTTAAATATTTGTTATAAAGCAAATAAACACATACTGTAGACATAACAATTACCGACGCGTCCTGTGGTGTCAGTTTTCCTTTCCTAGATCCTAAGTCTTGAAATCGCATTTGAAGTGAAGGGCTCCATACGCCACAGTTCAGTTGAACGCTTCAATTTCCCGGATCTTTTTCGGCGGTCGAGCCTAAACTATCGCCCTGGTAGAACCGTTCTGTTATTCCTGGTGTTTTTGAAGTTGTATAACCCCTTGATTCATCGGTCGGGCATGGGTCCAAATGTGGCTTCGATATAGAAACCACAGATTTCCGTTCGTGAAAGAAATAATTTCAATCCTTCAGTAGCATTTCTCAAACCGAGGAACGAAGGAATCGCAGAATCCGGGCGCAGAATGTATCCGTTTGTTGGCATCGGATCTCCAAAAAGGTCTATATTTTAAATGTGTAAGACGAGAGAAATACCGTCCTTACAGAAACAACCGGCCGCCATTTTATTTTTGGCAATGAGGGCCGGCTATAACCCCCGACCCCCCGACCCCTAATGCCTACCAAATATTACGCCCGCAATATTTTTTAGTGTTGTGATTTCCCAGGCCTTATACACTGGTTAGCGGAATTACCAAGAAAAGTTTACAAACGCCAAATTTTCCCCACAAACCCGAAAGCTAATCCTTCGCGCATGCGCGCGAATGCTGAGCTAAAAATTAGTCGCACGATGAGCGCGCGGATGGATATTTACTAAATGAACCCCTTCCGGCGGCTGGTATATATAAACAATAGCCTCCATTTGCCAAGGAAATATGCTATGATATTTGTCCGCGGACATTATTCTGTTGCCGAGAAGCCCGAAAACAGATTTTCCGAGAGCGAAGCTCGAGGAACTGTGAGCTTCGAGGAACAGATATTAGTCCGCGGGACAAATATCCGAGCATATTTTTTGAAGCCCAAATGGAGGCTATTGTAGTTATTATCCTTCAACTATTTTTTCACAAGGCCGTCTCTGTTTGCCGTGGAAGATCTCGGTCGGCCAAGCTGTTAAACATCAAAATAATTCTGTTTAGCGTTCAAAAATATTTCGAGTCAGTTCAAAACAATCAGTTTTATTTAATTTAGCAATTTATTTGTGGACGAAAACTGAACCTGCGAACGAGAAACGCAAATTTTCAAAACTGGGGAATATCACTTGGGGAATATTACCGGATATTCCCCAGTTTTGGCTGCGTCACGTGACGTGTTTAGACCAATCGCGCGCGAGAAAAATTTCATGGATTATAACGGAGGATAAAGCCCAAATCTGAAAAATTGTACGAAACATGAACAGTTAGCCGAGTAGCGAAGCTTGAGGGCTTTGAGGACAATCTTTTAGCCGAGGGCATTATGAGCTAAAAACATGTGAGTAGGAGCCAATCAGAAACTAGAAATGCAATAACAGTTATTGAGTATTCAATAATTTTAATAAAAAGAAGAAGCCCCGAAGAGATTTGAACTCTTGACCCCTGGTTTACAAGACCAGTGCTCTAACCACTGAGCTACGGAGGCCAGACGAAAATTTATGGTAGATATCAAGAACATCAGTCCTTACATTAGTAGTTGTCTCTATGTTCTTCAAGAACATAATATTGTGTACAACCTCGTACCCGTTAAGGCACCGTTTCGTTCCCAGAGCGCTCTTTTTTAAAGGCAGGCTGTATCAGGCCATCCCCATCAAATGTTTCGTTTCCCATCGCCCTCTCTCGTGAAAGAAGGTCGGTCGGTCGGTTAAAAAAAAAGAAATTAAAGAAAAAAAAAAAGCCGAGAATCGAAATATTGACAAAGTAATACATAAATAATTCCAAGTGCGCCTTCCAAACAATTTTGAGAACTTCAAAATATCACTCGTACCCATAAATCGCGAATTGCACTCGCGTTCATACGATTTCTTATACTTATTTCATTTCATAAAAAGTAACTACAGTAATAAACAATACATACATAAAGGG